TCACCGGAAGTGTGTCAGAAGGCAACGCCCACCACTCAGGCTCCACTGGACTGTTTTGGATTGCTAGCTATTGGGGGGGGGGGAACATGCAGATCTGCCCTTACAGAGGAGGGAGAGCTTGTAACTGAATAAAACTTGGTCTTAAAGGTGCCACGGGACTGTTTTGGGTCGAGGAGGGCTCTGCAACTTACCTGGCTGCTTCTTGCTCTGACTGAGGGCTGCTGGGATCAGGGGGTGGGGCTTGTTGCACGTGCCCGCCCCCTGGCCTCTTTACTGCTGGAGCGGAGCTCCTGTGCGCTCTGCAGGAAATGACCCCTGCACATCACCCATCTTTCGTAGGTGACTCCCCCCATCTGTTAAACAAAAACGCAACCATGTGTTTCAACGTCTTTAATAATTTACATGAAAAGGTGACTAAATTAGCATACTGCCATTAGAAAGATTTCGCTTTAAAAAAAAACACCACCTCTAGAGAATTCTCCTGCATTAAAAAAACACCCACCGTCCAGAGAAAGTGCAAATCAGAAGTACCCTTCACATAAACCTCAGTGCAGAAGGCTCAGTTTCAACACAGTTTTAACTCAGACAACTCACCCCTCTTTGTGTTTTGGGGCAATTCATGAAAGCATTCCTACTATCAAAGCCGCCGAAATCATCCAAATCGTTTCTTTCTTTCTTTTTTCTTTTTTAAAAAGGGCAATTAAAAAAATAAAAGAAGATCGCGATCCATTGTGTACAAAACCTGGTTTTCACCGTAAAGATTACACTTAAGAAAACGGAGGTTTGGGCGCCGGATAAGTGGCTCTCCTTGTAGCGACACTTGACACAAACTTGGCAGAAGGCTGTGATTCTGGACAGTCCCACTGTCAGCCACAAAACATCACGCTCCATATCCAGCGATCTTCCACGACACTCTCCACGACGGGGCCTCCGGGCACCAAAATAGCCACTGCTGGTTCTGTACAAGGAAGAAACTGGGAACGGCTGTCCTCGACTCACAGCTGCTGCAAACTCTCCAGCTGTTCAGACCGGGAGTATAAACTGGAGAAGCAGCTCCTGTCAGGGGCATGCACTGGGTGCCGAGAACGCATCAGCGTCGGCCTCAGGATGACTCCCACGCCCTGGCATGGGACAGGCTGCACACCTCTGCCCGCCCACCAACTTGAGAGGCAGCTCGCATAGCCAATTAGCTTCAGCCACGTCTGCTGTCTTTGGGGAGTCATTGCCAGCAGGTGAAAAGTTCATCAACGCTCTATGTCATCACAGAACAGAGAACTGCCGATGTCCAATTTTTACTTGGGCCGACGGCGCCGAATTAAACGCGTTCTCGACATCCCAGCAGCACAAAGTCTTTGGTATCGACAGCACCCTCCCACAGGTCAGAGGAGGAGCAAGCGAGTTTAGGTTGCCAAGGGAGGGCCCCCTGTTGTCACTTCAGTGTCCGACTGCAATCTAGCCGGCCGGCCGGCCCTCGTTGCTGAAAGAGTCCTTTATCACAGACACCCGGTGGTGGAACTCAGCGCCGCCATGTTGTGAAATCGCTCTGGAAACTCTTCACAGATAAGACCATCTCGGTGGAAGTTGGCAATTCCTGGCACGGTTCTCGGAACTGCAGTTATGGGGCGAACGTTCTACAGGGCAAATAGATTTTTTAATTAAAGTTAAGCTTCTGTATTACACACTGCAGATACGTTCTTCATAGAATCAGAGAGAAGGGCACTCTACAGACTATATGACATCCACAGGAGACACCTTTTGAGACTGGCAGGAGGCCCACCCTCTGGGCAGGGTTGCCAATTCTAGCTTGGGGAAATCCTGGAGACTTGGGGGGCAGTGCCTGAGGATGGAGGAGTTTGGAGGGAGGAGTGAGCTCAGTGAGGACATCTTGTACTCTACGACTTCAGTGTCTCCTAGGCACTGTGGTATGTCATAGAGTCTGACCTCTGAAGCTGCCGTGACCGTCAGAGAAACTGATCTCTGTAGTCTGGAGGAGATCGGCTGTAGAGTTCTAGAACTACAACCCCACCTATGCGGGTCTCTGGAACTATCTTCTCTCCTCCCAGAGAGGAGCTGGCACAGAAGTAATTTTTTCTCTCTTTAGTGTGCAGCCTGCCCGGCAACAGATAGGTACAGATGGGCCCTCTGTGCCACGAGATTTATTTGAATGGAGGCATATTGAAGATCCTGGCTCTGCCCAGAATTTTCAGCAGGCAGAATGGGTGGGGCCCGGAGAAGTGTCATAAGGGGACGGAAGGGTCCCACGGCTGCGGAGATTCCAGGGGAGTGTGCCCAGAGACTCTGAGCAGCCCAGGGGTGGCGATGGAAGGGAGACGGGGCTGTCTCTTTGGGCTCTTCCCCCCCCCCCAATTCATTCCCCATCTTATCGAGCTGGACCCGTTCCAGTCACTTTATGAAAGCTCTCTTGCTTTCTTCAACCAGCCGGGTCCAGCCAATCCACCCTCTTCGCCCTGGCGAAGAGTGTTAATCACTCTTTGGGTGAAGAAGTACTTCCACTTATCCGTTCTAACCCGACCGCTCAGCAATTTCATGGAGTGCCCACCGAGTTCTTGTATTGTGAGAAAGGGAGAAAAGTACCTCTTTCTCTACCTGCTCTTTCCCATGCATATAGTGGAAGGAACATCTGGAGGATTGCAGAGTGGGCTCTGAGGAACATCTGCTCCCATTCTGGGCCTAACCTTTGCACCGAGGGGGAGCAGAACAAGGAGTTGGAGTGTTGGTCATCAGGCACCCTTAACAGCACCTGGTAGCTCAGTTTAAGGAACAATCTCTTCCTCTTTTTACCTCAGAAATTCTCTCAGAGCATCAAAATAACCATGTTCAGAAAAACGGAAGTCTGAGTCCAGCGGCACCTTGAAGACCAACAAAGTTTTATTCTGGTTATAAGCTTTCATGAAAGCTTATACCCAGAATATGAAAGCTTATAACCAGAATAAAACTTTGTTGGTCTTCAAGGTGCCGCTGGACTCAGACTTCGTTTTTCTGAACATGGTCTTTTTGATCCTCTGAGAGATTTTCTGAGGTAAAAAGAGGAAGAGATTGTTCCTTAAACTGAGCTACCAGGTGCTGTTGAGGGTGCCTGATGACCAACACTCCAACTCCTAGTTCTGCTCCCCCTCGGTGCAAAGGTTAGGCCCAGAATGGGAGCAGATGTTCCTCAGAGCCCACTCTGCAATCCTCCAGATGTTCCTTCCACTATCGGTTCTGTTACTCTTGCATTTTACCACAGGGTAAACAATCACCAAACTCTCCACTGAGTCCTGGTGTTCATTTCTATTTACATTCCTGGTCAGTGAACGTGGCTCTTGGTGATTCTTAGGAAAACTGACTTGAGGGCCAAAACATGTAATGGTCAAAATCTGTCAGTCGAGTCTAATCTGGTACTAAGCAGTTGAAGCCTGAAAGGGGTGATCGGGCATCAGAAGAACAGCTGTTCTGGAACCATGTTGTAGATCTGATTCCAATGTTTTTGGGTACCTGAGGTTAGCCTTAAGGCCAAATAACTAAACTAACCTATTGGCCGTCCTTTCCAACGACACTGGATGTCACGAGTTGTTTTAAGTTTGCCACTTACTGTGAGTCTGGAAGCACCACAACTTCCAGTCGTTTTGGTTCTCCTGCTTCAGATAAATCCTAAGAAAGGGGAAACAAATCGTCTGAACCTGTATTAAAGAAACACAACTCTTTCTAAAGATCAGGAAGAATCCAATGGCAAAAAAAAGGGAAGACACGTATCCAATGGAGAAATCGTGCCGCCGCTGCCGTGAGACTCTGGAGAGGGGGTTTAAAGTTTAAACCCCCTCTCGGCTCAGCTGGCTGGCGGGGGAAGAGAGGAGGCGGCTGTGTGGCCTCCGATGCCAGCCACCGAGTCTTCTTCTTGCTAGCAAGCAGGGAGAAGGCTCACCCGGCCCACCATTTTCTCCAGGGGAACTGATCTCTGTCGCCTGGAAATCAGTTGAACACTCAGGAGATCTCCAGGTACCACCTGGAGGTTGGCAGGCCTGATTCATGCAAGACATCGACGGAACTGGGTCTTGGTGGCTAATGCTGGCCACAAGCTAAGTGACACTAGCCAACTGCATGTCTGAGCTGCAGTTTCAAAAAAAAGACTTTGGTTAAATGTTGGGAAGTTGGACGGACGTTTGAACAGAGTTTTTATTAAGGCAAGGGGATCAAAAAATGTTACCCAGGGTTGACAGTGGAGGAGGAGGAGGAGGAGATTGGGTTTATACCCCGCCCTTCACTACCTGAAGGAGTCTCAGAGCGGCTGACAATCTCCCTTCCCTTCCCCTCCGCACAACAGACACCCTGTGAGGTAGGTGGGGCTGAGAGAGCTCTGAGAGTCCTGAGAGAACAGCTCTGAGAGAAGCAACAAGGCCGGCCCGCTGTCCTCCTCCCCTCACCAGATTTAATTTTTTAATTTTTTAATTTAAATTAAGCCCCCCCCCCCACCAACAACCCCCCCCGACACCCCGATCAGGCCACTCCACACACCTTGTTAACTCTTCTGCGGAGGGTTGCCAGCAATGCTCCCTCTAAGCTGTGGAGTCCTGTCAGCAAAAATTCTACTTTGTGAGCTACTGGCATTAAAGTTGATTTGGCTACTGCATACATTAGTTTGCTCCAGAGCCATCCTTCCTGAACGAAGACAAAAATGGGTGAGCCGGAGGCTTTAAAACTGTGAGCTCACTCACCCTAACTAAGATTAGAGGGAACACTGGCTACAGGCCTGCATCCAGCCCCCAACAGGACAAACAGCGCCTTCTCCAGGGCCATTTTCCATTAAGAGAATGGTGAGGGAGAAGGTCTGACCCCTCTCGCCTTGGTATCACTGTCCCCACACCTCTGGGATGCGTGAACTCCCAGAACACATTGGTGACCTGACCTCGGGGCTTCCCTTGAAAAAACCTCGTGTGTTTGTTGGGCCCTTTGTGAAGAAAAAGACGGTGCCATGTTTATTTCTACACTCTAAGAGGAGATGCTCAGGAGGACAGAAGACAACGGCGAGATCTTACCTGTAAGGGTTCCATTCGGCTAGATCCGTCTAATGTTCCTACCACCTTCGTTTCCTGAGCCACAGTACTGCTTCCGGGTCGATGTCGAGTCATGTATTCGTATGTGCTCAACTTCTTACCCACTGCGCACAAAGAAGTTACTTGTACTTTTTTCAGCTTTTTTAAAAAAAACCCAATTTCCTTCGCTCAGTGGCTTTCGCACCAAATTCAGCAGAAGCAAACTGAACTAGGCATAATCTGACCGAAGTCATCGGTGATGTGGCGTGGCAGTCTGATTCAAATGAGCAAAACAGCTGTCGTTATTGTGGACCTGGGGTGTGTCCCTGTGTACCCAGCAGCCAGAGGTGAAAGGCAGCTTTTGCTTTTCCTGCAATAATGTCTCCAAATGTGGCAGTTTACTCCCCCCTCCCGTATGAACGGCAAGTAAAATCATGAGAAAGGGGCACACACCCCATGTGGAGTCCACTGCCGCAGGATGTGGTGGTGGTTACAAGCACACAGAGCTTCAAGTGGGGATTGGAGAAACATCTGGAGCAGAAGTCCATCAGTGATGTTAGCTGCAAGGTATAGATGGAATACTATGTCCGGGGCAGTGACACTCTGTGTTCTTGGTGCGCGGTGGGGGGGGGGGGGTGGGGGGACTGAGGGCTGCTGGGAGCAGGGGGTGGGGCTTGTTGCATGTGCCCGCCCCCTGGGCTCTTTACTGCCGGAGCTCTGCTCCTGTGCGCTCCTGCAGGAAATGACCCGATTGTTCCCATATTACAGACTGCTAGCCGCTTTGTGGGCGGGGGGGGGGGGGGGGGGGAAACAGGAAAAAAGGCTGTCACTGGCAGTGGGTGGGTGGGGGAATGCTGGCCGTGAGAGAATGGGGAAGGAAAATGGCACTGGATGTGGGTGAGCACCTTCCCACCCACACTGCGGGCAGGGACGTAGCCAGCATTTTTGACTTTGGGGGGCATTTAAATAAGTCGGGGGCACCCCCCCCACACACACACACACACCCAGGCTGTGTCAGGAGCAACGAGAGAGTAAAAGTTTTGAAAAACTGACACGAGAGAGGGAGAGAGAATACAACACCCTGACTGAAAAGGTGATTTCCCTTTCACTATGGCTACCTCACTCAGCACTGAGTGGATGACTGAAAGTAACATGTGTGCGCTCACAGACACGTGTGCATGCACGCACACGTGCACACACACACACATAGGTGATTGTGCACGCTGTGTGCCCAAGATCACACTGAATGAATGAATGGGAACATTCAGAATTGCCCCTGCTGGATCCAGGGGCGGATGAAGGCTCACTGGTGCCCTAAGCACTGACCAATTTTGGTGGGGGGGCCCTCCTCTCCACACTGACCCCCAGTCCATTTTAGTTGTTGACCTGTCTGACCAGCAGGGTTTTTTTGGTAGAAAAAGCCCAGCAGGAACTCATTAGCATAATAGGCCACACCCAAAAGCAGAAACACATTAGCATATTAGGCCACACCCCTGACGGCACTGCTCATTAGCATATTAGGCCACACCCCACATGTTACCAGAAGTGTGGTCATCCAGCCACACCCTCCTTTTGCTTCTTATTCTGTTTACTTTGTTGTCAAATCCCTGGGCTTTTTTTGTAGCAGGAACTCCTTTGCATGTTAGGCCACACACCCCTAATGTAGCCAATCCGAATGAGTGTCTGCTGTTGGGTATGGCCCATTATGCTAATGAGTTCCTGCTGGACATGGCCAACTCGGGAGCCAGCCGGAACTCCGTCCCTGTGTGTTCCTGCCCAAAAATAGCCCTGCTGACCAGATAGACAATGCAGGTTGCAGCAGTACAAACATTTATTCATAGGATAGCACAATATACTGTACAAACGAAGCTTTTCACCCTTTTCCCCAACTTTGTGGTGCCCCCTTTGGCCCTGGTGCCTTAAGCATGGGCCTAGTCTGCTTAACGGTTAATCTGCCCCTGGCTGGATCAGACCCCGGAGCCCAGCAGTCTGTCACTGGCCAGAGGGCCCTGGGGGGGGGGGGAGCTCACAGGCAGGGCTGGAGTAGGGAGCAGGCGTGCTCTGTGGCGTGCCTCGCCCGCAGCCAGCCAGCCAGAGGTACACTGCCAGCAGGAAGGGCAGGGTGATGGCCGTGCAATAAAATGAAATGAAATAAACCCACTGGATGGGAAGTCGGGAGGCCTGGGCAGTAAGTCCCGTAGGGTTGCCAAATGACCCCGGGGGACGGGGAATCCCCTGCTTCGGAGCCCCGAGTTCCGCCCCGGCGGAATTGGGGCCCAGGGGGAACCCCGCCCCCGAAGCTGCGTCACCGGAGGTGATGCAGCCACGTTGCTGACGTTTGGGGCGTGGCTGAGCTCGTGGGGGGGGGAACCATATGTCCCCCCCCCACAAGCTTGGCCACGCCCCCAACATCAGCAACGTCACACGTCACTTCTGGTGACGTGGCGGCGGCGCGTGCGCGTGTGCATACGGACCTACAGCCGGCTCCCGACCGGGACGGAGCCTCCCCCGCCGGTAAGGTTTCAGGATTTGGCAACCCTAAAGTCCCGGCTCCAAGATGCCCCACTGTCGCTAGGGGCCTGGCTGCAGGCAAACTTGCTTCTGCTCTGATATCTCGAGAAACCCCAGATCAAAGGACAAGAAATAGCAGGAGGCGAGTTCAACAAAGGACCCGGACAGAAAAGGGAGTGGGGAGCAAGACCGGTGATCCTCAGCCAAGAGTGAGGAGGAGGAGGAGGAGGAGGAGGAAGAAGAGATTGAATCACCCTAGGCGGCAGCAACTGCGGCATGGCTTGCCATTGGCTGCTTCTTTCCTCCCATTTCCAGCAGCCCACGAGTGGCAAGCCAACGGAAGGAGGCCAGCAGCAAATGAACTGGGAGCTGACCCATAAACTAGGCTCTGCCATGCGCATCTGGTGAACTGCCCAGGGTTTGGCTTAAAGAAACTGTTATGTATTGGGATTGAATCATACCTGATTGAATCACCCTAGAGCCTGGCTGAGTTTGGAGCACAGGGACAATAGCCAACCAGGACTCTAGAATAAACCAGTCAAGTAGCAATGTTTTGTAAACAGCCTATCACGGGGAGTGGGTGTGTGGGGGGGATTAGGGTGTTTTGCATGCATATAAGCAGAGCTCCGGCCCTGCTAGAGTTGTCTCAGAGTTAAGCTGAAATCACTAATAAACTACGAGATGATCACTATATACATCTCGAACCCACTATGTTTCAGAAACAATTGTTTATTACGATGTCTGAGCGCAGCCATTAATGAGAGCATTCCTAGTGAAATGAAACAGGGGCCTCACTGGCTGGCAGCCGATAAAGAAATAATCACTCATTTAGAAGAAGAAGAGATTGGATTTATACCCCGCCCTTCACTGCCCAAAGGAGTCTCAGAGTGGCTGACAAACTCCTTTCCCTTCCCTTCCCCACAACAGACACCCTGTGAGGGAGGTGGGGCTGAGAGAGCTCTTGACAGAAACTGCTCTTTTTCAAGAACAGCTCTTATCAGAGTTATGGCTTGCCCAAGGTCATCCAGCAGCTGCAAGTGGAGGAGTGGGGAATCAAACCCGGTTCTCCCAGATTAGAGTCTGCGCTCCTAACCACTACACCAAACTGGCTCTATATTGTGTTGTACTCGGTGGCTGTGGAATTTCTGGCCCTCATCGTCTGATCCAGTGTAATGGCACAGAGTGTTAGTTAGTTTGTTTGTTTATTGTATTTGTATCCCGCCCATCCCGCGAGCGGGGTCAGGGCGGGTCACATCATCTTTCAACAATACAATAAGGCTTAAAAACACAATATAAAACATTTAGAATCAATAGTCATAGCTACTGGTGTAAGTGCCGACCCACTGATACGGATGGATATGGCCGGTTGCCGATAGATAGATGGCCAGCAGATAGGAGACCGCAACCTCGGGGGGGGGGGACATGTGGACGCCCGCTGCCTCAGCCAGAGGCCCGGTCGAAGAGCTCCGTCTTGCAGGCCCTGCGGAACTGAGTAAGATCCCGCAGGGCCCCGATCTCGATGGGGAGCGTGTTCCACCAGGTGGGGGCCAGGGCAGGGAACCTTCCAACTGCTCCACAACCCAAGCTGCTGGACGGCAAAGATCAGATGATCTAGCTCGTTCCTCTCTACTTGCTGGGGCGTTGGGAACACACCTGTCTGTCCACCCAGGACACCTGTCCCATCCCTGTCACCACCAAGCGACCAGACACTGGCATGACATTCACGAGTGTAAAATCTGGCACGCGGTCCAGAATCCCACAGCTCATATTCCAGTAGGAACAGACCGTGTAATCTGTGCGTGTGTTCGTAACGTTTTAAGAACATGTGCCTCTGGGCAGGTGATGCACACATATGGGCATCTGGTTGCTTCAAAGACGGGGTGGTGGTCCGGGGGGAAAGGCGTGCTCTTGGTACCCCACCACACAGGGGGAGGCTGCCCAAGAAGTGCATCATCCAATCTGTCGGGTTGCCTGGCGATCTCCTGGAATTACAACTGACCTCCAAGCAGGCCCGTAGCTACGGCAGGGCTTTTGGGGGGCTCTGCCCCCTTTATTTTCTGCCCCTTTCTCTGCCCCCTTTCTTAAAGGTATGGCCCCACAAGAATTTATCCTGTAAATGCTTTTTTTCAATCATTTTAAAACATTTTTTTTGTGAAACGCATTTTATTGGTTTTCAATTTAACAATAGTAGATTGAACCATGAAAAAAAACCCACAGTAAAGGCATGCGCTCCTTTAAGCAGAGTGGGGTGCTCTGGTTGACTAATTCTCGCACTGAGCAAGGGGGTTGGAGTAGGTGACCTCTAGGATACCTTCTAACTCTGTCAAGAAACTGGTCTCCTTTCAGAGTGTTTTTCTGCCTAAATGTAAGCGTCTTACTCACAGAGGTACAGATGAAACAGCAGCAAATGTCCGAGCAGCAGGAAAGAAATGAACCCCAACAGCAGCGTTAATGCAGCTACAGACATGATGGCGACCGCCGTGGTCTCTGCCGGAGCAAGGGGAAGGAAGACCAACCAGGTGTCATTCCCACCAACACCTGTGGGAGCAAAAAAAGGAGGAGACAAATCAGTCAAGTTTCAAATGCCCTCCAGTAACAGGACAGGGCTTTTAAAACCTCTTTTCTACGGGCCGATTTGGGCCTACAGGCAGGCCTCACTGAACTATAGCATTTCCACTAGAACATGAACGGCACTTATCCTAACAGCTCAAAGGTTTTCACAAAAGAAGAAGAGAAGAGATTGGATTTATACCCTGCCCTTCACTCGGAGTCTCAGAGCGGCTTACAAACGCCTTTCCCCTCCCCACCAGTGTTCCCTCTAAGCTGAGTTAGTGTGAGCTAGCTCACAATTTTTTAGCCTCTGGCTCACACATTTCTGTCTTAGCTCGGGACGGATGGCTCCAGAGCAAACTAATTTGTGCAGTAGCCAAATCACCTGCTCACAACTTTAATGCCAGTAGCTCACAAAGTAGAATTTTTGTTCACAAGACTCCACAGCTTAGAGGGAGCACTGCTCCCCACGACAGACACCCTGGGAGGTAGGCGGGGCTGAGAGAGCTCTGACTGAGAACTGCCCTTGAGAGAACAGCTCCGAGAGAACTATGGCTCCGTCCTTGAAAACAGTTTTAGAATGGTGGTGGGGAAAATCTTTTTCACAAGTTTAAGAAGGGAACCTTGTTGGTCTGGAGTAGAACAGTTCAATTTGAGTCCAGTAGCACCTGAGAGACCAAGTAGGGATGGAGATCCTGGAGCCCTTAGATCCCAGTCTGAAGGTGGGAAGGAGTCAGGACGCAACACCCCTCCCGCCCTCCGCCTGGGATACAAGGACCCGGGGATTGCCATTCCTACGGGTATCCGATGAAAGGAGCTTCGATTCTTGGACTCTCATACATCCAAAAAATCTTGCCCATCTCTAAGGTGCTACGGGACTCCAATTGAGCTTTTCAACACGCTAACTACTCTTTATCCATTGAAAACAGACCCCAAGAGGTTAAGACTTATTTCTTAAAACCCGAGCTTCAATTCAAGGTGGAAGGCTAGACGTCTTACTGTTGACCTTTCCCCTTTGCTAACGCTTCCAGCTAACTAAAATCCTCAGTGGGGTGGAATACGGCCAGCGGTTGCACCAGCTAAGAGAGGGGGTGCCTTGGTAGGTGACAAAGGAGCAGAAGGGAAGAAGCTGTATGGTTCTCATCACTAACACCTCACACAACCAGTGTTCCCTCTAAGCTGAGTTAGTGTGAGCTAGCTCACGGTACTTTAGCCTCCAGCTCACACACTTTTGTCTCCGCTCAGGAAGG